TGAACCACTCTGGGAATCTGGTTGTTCAACCACTCTGGGAATCTGGTTGTTCAACCACTCTGGGAATCTGGTTGTTCAACCACTCTGGGAATCTGGTTGTTCAACCACTCTGGGAATCTGGTTGTTCAACCACTCTGGGAATCTGGTTGTTCAACCACTCTGGGAATCTGGTTGTTGACATAAAAGTATAGTTGTCCTATAAAGCTTTTGTGTTAAACCCTTATATATTTTTTGTGGTTGTCCCAGTTGGCAACCAGTTTTCATTTTTGGTTGCCTAACGAAAAAAGAATTTTCTGGGATGACTGATCAATAGTCAAAATTGCTAAAACAAAATGTTCAAGAAATTTTCTTCTAACCAGAAAAATTTCAGAAGAAAGAGCATTGTATTTGTTGGCACTTACAGTAAGTGGAGTAAATACATGTTATTGAGTAAATACAAATCTGTAGGAATTCCCTATTTGGGGTAAAACATGAAGTAATAGTATTATTTTTATCAGTATGATTGATCATGAAGTCATCTTTCCAATACCTTATCAATAATGAGTAGCATTTCTCAGATGAGTCATCCATCCCACACAAAATTATTTTTGTTGACATAAACCATTTGATATTAGGGGTTGAGAGATGCATGCCTTTCCAAAATCATCAGCATATTGTCATAATTCCGTTAAACTGGAGGTTAAAGTCTAATAATTTTATTGTTTTATCTTGATTAAAAGCTTCTATGCTATTTTGAAAATTATCAAACTTTTGCTAGTCCCTCTATAGAAAACCTTCCACCCCTATCTTCATAATAGTGAAGTCTACAGGAAGTATGTAGCTTGAATATTTGGTATGCATGGTTATTTCCATAATATCAACATGTGTATATGTGGTTAGAGTTGTCCAGTCCAGTCCATCCCTGATCAGACTTGTCCAGACTGACTTTATTGCCACTGTAACTCATGGCTTTCTGCATATCTACTCTTGGAGACTGGGATGAGTTGATTCTGGTAGGCAAAAACTATTTGATTTGATAGATTATTTTGTGTGGGTAACTGTATTTTGTTTGATAACAATTTGTTTCAACTATCTTATATCTTATATTAGTTTCCATGGCAACCATAATTATTATATCCCCCTTATCATTATTATAATATTTTAATAATTTTCAAATTTGTTATTCTCATTTCATTGAAATATTGTAAAAGATGTTAAGCTGCTGTATCATGGTTGTATAATGTCATATTTGCCTTTGACCCATTGCTGGCAGTTACTGAGTAGACATCTCATATGGGTTTGTTGATGTCATGTAATGTCTATGGTGATATATTGGAAATTATATGCTAAGACTTCTGTGCAAAATCTTGTAGTATATCATGCTGGGGCATGGTTTATGGCCAACAAAATCTGTTCATGTGATCTATTGTCACTGTAGCATCATTATCTCTTAACCCTTATCCTGCCAGCCCCTTACTATTACATTGACTTGACCTGAGAAGAATTATTAAAGATGATATTTCTTGGAATACTTGTGACTAAAATTTCACTCTAAAAGCCAGGATGTAATATTCTTGTTAGTTTCGCTTCAATTTTCATGTTTATCTATTTCCAGAACTTCCGTCATTGTTATCGTGAATTTGACGGGAAGTTCTGGGGTAACATTTATCTTTGCATTTTTAATCACTGGGGAAATTTGACAACAGCTGCAATGCCTGAACTTAAAATTGTGTCTGCATATCAATATCAAGTGAACACATCATCCCAGGTTTTGTATTTATTTAGGACATAGTTTTCAGCTTTGAAATTGGAATAATTTAAACTACACTTTTGGTTATTAATTGCTCATATAAGCTTTAATTTGTCACTGTATAAATTAAAACAAATTTATTTTTTAACAGTTGTGTTTCATTGACAAGGCTATGCTGCTGTTAATCCAGCAAATATGCTCATCTGTTACGGTAATTCTTAAAGCCTTGCAAGCGCAGACAGTGCGGTACTCACGTTTGAAACAAGGTCCCGTAAGACACTCACTACATGTGTATATGAGTTAAAACTTATTGTTAATTCATGCACCATTTAAACATTTGCTGCTGATAACCGATCTTTGAAGTTATATCTTGTTATGTCAGCTGGTAGCAAATTAATTAATTGGAAAGAGAACGAGATAATGGATTATGATAAAAGACTGGATTGACAGATTTCGTTCACTCTGGAATTCTACGAAATAAGAAACATGTGTTCTAACCTCATCGCTAATCAAATCATAGGTAGCAAACACTCCAGAATGTGTATATTCTGTTGGATGTAAAAACAATCTTTTTTTTTGTACGTATAAATTGCGTTTGACACTTACTGCATTCCTTGGATCTCAGTGCTTCATGTTTTTATTAAATCAACATAGTTGTGATATCTAGGACCAGAGAACTGGGTGTGTTGAGTGTTGTTAACAGCGTTTGTACAAGATAAGGCCTAGCTCTTATTGATAACTATTTCCTGCATTTGAGGAATCTGAAATTTTAATTGTTTATTAAGAATTTATTGCTGTGATAATATGCAGGGATGCTGTTTTTTTTGCTGATGTAGCTGTCTTATATAAAGAGGTTGTGTTGATATACTTGTAATGCTAATGCCTTGCTGACTGGCTTTTGAGTTGTTTTCATTAGTCTAGCTCACCATAAGTGAACCTTCAATTTTCACATTTTGATAATTTTACTCTAGGAGTAGTAAAAAAAAAATCCCCTTCCTAAATAATCCTTACCATTCACATTGATCCTGTCTAAAAAGTCCTTAGGAAATGCTACAAAGCTAAAACAATTTCTGAACTCAAAAAATATTCTCATAAAATCAAAGCAGTTACATGTAAAAATACATGTGAAGCCACTGAGTGTGGCAAATATATTGGTGCACTCAAAATTGTAAATTGTATTTTGATCATGAAAATTGATAAAAACAAAGTTAATAATTTAGTTTTTAGATTACATGTATTTCATCTTTATTAACCTGTTTAGCCAATAACACTGCTTGTACACAGGGTCACCGATGTAGATTTACAAAAAAATCAGTTTGAAGTTTGAAATTTAAAATGTATGCGCATAATTTTGTAAGTTGTGTAGGTAATTTAAGGTTGGTAATTTTTGCCACCGAAATACAGTTTTTTACATCCTTGATCTTGATCAGTGAAGAGAATGATTAAAACTGGTTGGTTATGCGAATAGCGACAAGTATGTCCCGGTAGCTTTGTCGGCTTTTTCTTTGAATTTATTCGGGATACTTTCTATTATAAGAATGTAATTAATTGTACATGAGTAAACCCCACTTAGATACTATTGTGCAGAGAATGTTTATTATGGCCAGTGGAGGTGACATAAAATACTGATGGAATTTAAACATTTATCGATGCTCTGAGTTGGTATTGAGGAAGCCATTAATTATTATTATTATTTTTTGTAAAAATATTAGAAATTCCTAAGTTGCAATACCGTATTTACTCTATTAGTAGTGTAATATTTTAAGATTTTAATGATTCACGTACAACAAATGTGATTTTAGATTAATTCACACTTCTATTGGAGATCTATATCGATTAATAATAATAGAGCAAATATGGTAGCAATATATAAACGCTATGGTACACTTAGTATGTGCATGGCCAGGGCAACTGTATATACCGGTAACCACCTTTTTACATGGTGAAATTAATTGTTTGTTGGCGAGGTAAAGGTGAGTGATCACCACGCCATGCATGTGCAAGAATTGTGTTGATATACAGTGATTTTCCCACAACCAAGTACATTCTCCCCATTGTAAGCATGGATGCATGTTTTCATCTAACCGCGATGTGCACTAAATACCGACTTTGACTGCTCTGAGTGATTTGGTGCATTCCAATCTGGTTAAACCTTGGTAGCACCTCTTTCTTTTTGTATGCATTAATCTGTGCAACAATCAAAGTTGTCATCTTAATAAGAGTCCCATATCTCATGCATGCATTGGGTGACGACTACCGTACTTTAGTCTACAAACAAAAACATGGCAGTCGATTCATTTTCCGAGTTCTTTTAAATCTGTTATGTCTTGTATAGATCTATATATAACAATTTTCAAAATGGCTGCGACAATCATATATCTTCCAATGCCAAATTCTTCAGTTTTCAAATAGTTTACTCTATAGTTGACTAGTCTTATCAGTGTATTCTCTAATTGGTGATTTATGGCTGTCCTCTGCTTGCTGATTGTATTTACTGATATAATACTTTACCTATGGGCTTGGTTTTTTCTTATCTGCTATTGTCAATTGAGTACCATAATCCTGGCTTTGTCTTCACATTCCAATGGTCAATTTCATGACCTTGTTTGGCAACATGACTAACTTTTCAATAACAGGCAAAACAGTTTTGGCTCCAAAGCGTTAAAATGATCCTGAGATTATAGCACATCCTGCATTAAACGCACTTCCCCACATATCAGGCTGAGTGTAGAATGTCATCCACATCAAGTGATTAGACTTGTTATTGATTGTTTATGTGTGTATTCAAAACTTATTTTAAAATTGTAAAAATTTACCAACATGTATTAGTATTTGGGTTTATAATGGCTTTCTCTTTTTATCTCTGCTGTTGACTTTCTCGAGCGGAGCTTATCATTTATTTTTGATTCGTTTTTGTTTTGCTCATTTCCAAGGAAAATTAGTAAATTATTATATTATTATAAACTTTTCATAAAAGTTCTTGTAAAATTTGATGTATTCTTTGAACTTGTGGTTAAAATTTTGTGGACTGCTGATTCATACAGTTTTTCTTTGAACTCATCAAACTTAGGATGTCTTTCATGTAAGCTGAGATAGTATACTATCATCATAACAGCTGTATTATGCATCTACTTCTCTCCTATGCTAACCACTGTCCCTCAATACTGGAGGGACGGTGAAATAACAAAACACATAGCCAAATATTTTTAGGACAGTTTCTACTACAAATGACGATTTGTAACTCATTCCAAGATTTTTTTGTTCTTTATAGAGAAGTTTACCACAGACATCCAACCTTGCCACTATGTTTGCATATCACCACCATAATGGAGGAATACCGAACGGACATGCCGCGGTAGCTGAAGACGATAGGTTAGACTGTAACGTAAGTGTATTTGTTACACTAAAGTGTATTTTGTGCTCAGTTGATGTATTCATATTTTCTGTCTGAAAACATAATGAATATGATCTGAATATGTGTCACTCACATAGAGATAGACAGCGCCCTCTTCAGACAGGAGATGTATGTTCTTTCTTTTAAATATAATTGTGACAGGTAAAAATGTTTGATAAGCTACACACTCCTTCTATTGATTATTTGAATAATAAAATGTTGTTTTACGTACATATATAATATGAATGAAAATGTAAATTTGTCTGAAGAATATAAAATTATTTTTGATATAGTAAAATTTTGAACAATAAAACTAGTTTCTCATCAGCTTGCATCTCTATCTTACTGTAAAGGTACTTTATTTAATTTTGCTGTTTCTGCAGATAAGTAAAAAACACTAAATTAAAATCATGTAAAATAACAATAGCACTTATTGTTTCCCTGCTAATTTTGTGAACTTAAAAAACAGTGAAATTGCTCAAAACGTCAAAATAGTGAAATTAAATGCCAATGAAAATAAATGATTTTATAATATTAACTCACTCAGCATCGTTGTCATTTGGAGTTTACTCTTTTCTCACACATGCTGTCTCAGATTTATTCACTTTCTGCATCACTTTTGCCGCTGGGCTTGCAATAATTTTAAAAATTAGGATCAGAACTTGCAGGATCAAAGTCATCTGAAGAAAAAGAAACTGTATCGTTATGCTTCCTATGTGCTCCTATGGTGAAGTTGCATGCAGAACATGTGAAAACTACGGTGCATCCTGATTATTATAAACTGCATAGCATACGGCTTAACACATTTATTTCTGCATTTGATGTGAGCCCTGCCTTGCTAATTAATGAGCTGATTTTGACAACTATTTTTATCTAAGGATTTATAAGATTGCAAGGGTGTGATATGCAATAAATTTGTTTGTGAAAGAACTAGTTGTTTTCATCTCAGACCATTTGTAATATGTGTGTGTTTTCAATTTTTGAATACAGAGTTCATTTCTGTTTATGCATTCAAACATTTCCAAGCTCCCACTATGTTTTGAGGCATTATTGGTGAGAACTTCATTTGATTGACGCCTGTGGACTGAGATCACATTCAAGCGTTCACAAATCATGAAAGTTTGCTTATATGGTCATCGTATATAACACCATATACATGGTTATGAAAGTTGCTTACCTTTATTTTATAAATCTTTGGATATCACAATATATATTGTATTTACTCTATTTGTAGCACATACACTTTTGTAAATTACTGAGGTGTTTCAATGCAAAAGTTATATTTTAATGTACTGACTGAGAAAATGCCATAATAGTGCTCATTAGACATGTGTATATGCAATATACATTATTAATCTGGTCACTGGACCAGAAGAATCAATTTTTAACACCATCTCAGCTCCTTGGGGCATTGGCACAGCTCAGTGAGCAGCTCAAGGCACATCAAGTCAAACACACACCTACCAATTAACACCTTGGTCCTGAATTCTGAACAAATTATTTCCAGTGACACTAATCCCAGAATCCACCTCTAGATTAACCATATACTGTAAAATGGGTTTAAATTTCACTGATTTACTATTTCAGGCATATTCAGTGGGTTTTAAATTCACGGTTTCGTCATTTAGATAATGTGTTCTATGCTAAATTTTACATATTCACTGGGTTTTAATTTAGCGCATTTTCCAGTCAGCGAAATAAGCTAAATTAAAACCCAGTGAATAATTACCCCCTTATAAATAAAATACTTTATTGTAAAGACTGTTTGAGTGTTTTGTATGGAATTTTTGCTGAAAAGACTGTTTGAGTGTTTTGTATGGAATTTATTTTCACTGGTTTTTGATGAGTTGAATGTGAAATATTGAAAAAAAGGCATATTCGCTGGATTTTATATTCACTGAATCATTCCTTCAGCAAAAATAGCGAGAATTAATTCCAGGTGAAAATAAAGTATCTTACAGTACCATATCTGGTTTATTATAAGTGCTATTCCAATGAAAACGCCTATAAACAGTTGCATTTATTGTATACTGATTCATTAAAAATATGCATTATTTTGACCATACACACTTCTCTGTCATTTACCTCAGTGCAGGCGCTACTAATAGTGCAAGTAAAAGATACTGAACTTTTCATGTCTCTTAAAATCAACTGAACTATGGGTATAAAGATTCAAGGTTCTTGCTAGAGTATTTGTTGCTCCCAGACATGCCCTATGCACACTGTTTAAATATGGCATTTTTCACACCATCTTGTTAATGTATCTTGTATTATTACAATCCTTTGATCTCTCCTATCTCTCCTGTAGCTCTCCTGAAGTGAATTTAATCAAACAAATGTTTGTTTGTTTTTTATGTTGGAAATTTAATGTTAAAAGTTTACTAAATAAAATGAAGGAAGAAGGTTGGAATAATTCCTGAGTAAAACATGATACTGGACTTATATGACTTAAAATAATAATAAAAAAACTGAATAGCTCACATGGTGTGTTTTATGAATCATTAGATGTCAGACGAAGTGCCATGTACATTGCAAGCAGTTAAAGAGATATGTGACTACTATTATAAAGTGATTGCATTGGGCAGGATAAATTCAGTGCTGATAGCAAGACTGATGGCTTTCTATTATTGATTGGAAGCTTTCCAAATATTTAGGTATGCCAAGACTGCTCATCAAAATAAGTAGCTGCAATGGTGATATTTTTATTTTTATTAACAATTGGTAAGATTGCTTTGCTCAAGAATTTGAATCATTCAATAAAATGAATGATGTCACTTTGCAGCCGTACAAGTTCTACTGATATTTAAATACAGTAGTCAGACTTGAACTGTGCTTTTTGTGTTTTTATAACTATTTTACATGTGAAACATTATATACCTGCCGCTTTCTGCACACACCATGGCTATTTCTGTGGTGTTTGCTGTGGTCCATGTTCATTTAATAACATTGTGACTTGTGCACACACCCGCATATGAAAGCATGGTAGACTTCATGTTATGACCCTGCTAGTTGATGTCACTTTCACCAGCTAGTCCAGGGTTGGGTAACCTCTATGTGCTTATATATGCAAATGTTTGAATAATTAACATTTGACTTGTAAGTGATAGTCTTCTTACTAAGCTTGGTTTCAACCCCAGGGTGTGGGTATTGTTCACTGTGAGAATAGTGTTACTCCTCCTATTGTGTGACACATTAGCTTGTCCATACATGGGGGAGGTTGTTCTATTTCAACTGGCAACGCATGCACCATTCGCATCTATTGTTAAGCTGCACTCACTGTATAGCATTGTCCGCTGAGTGCACCCATTGTGCTTTCACCCAGCCACCATTCATAGTACTGTTAATGGGAGATCTCATTATGAATTCTACGCATGACAAACAAGTCTGTGAGTCATAAACTCCTTTCCCTTGAGGACACACTACCAAGTCTAGTCAGTTGGTGAGATAGTCGTTGTTGAGGTGTGGCTCGATCCGAGAGCTCCTAGCTCACCCTCCACGCTATGGAAGTAATGCATGTACCACGTTCGATTCGACCTCATAATTCTGGATATAGAGTACCGCTTCACAGACCACGTTCCGTGCACTTGGATTTCAGAAAGACAGAAGTGAGTATCGATCATTTGTGTGCAGCAATACAGAAGGGTAACCATGTTTATACATACTACATGCTAGCAGTGTTACTGTGAGAGTCTTGATAACTCCCATATGCCGTATTACTTGCTGTATAAACTGATTGCTACCCAAACCATTGTTGGAAATAACTCCTATACTCATCTAAAACTAAATGACCTCTCACAGTGTAGTACTGTGTGTAATTGTTTCTCTGTTGAAGTGAATCAAACAGGTGTGTTGTTTTTTCCCAGTGGGATTGCATCTCCCAGCAGACTGGGACATCAAATCAGTGTAAATCAGCAGGGGACACATGACTGTGGTGCTTTCAGTTGGAAATAATGACTCATTGTTGACTTAAAGTGATAAATATGCTGGAATGTTCTACTTAGAACTTTCTTTTCAAAATGGCTGATGATGCAAGTGTTAAGGGTTACATAACAAAATACAATGTATATAGTACTAATGGACTTCATTGATGGAGGACACCTTGTTGAACAACAAACACATGACATCAATAAAGAATCAATACTGCCATGATACTTTACATGATTTAACTAGAAAAAGAGGAACAGAAACAGTTGTTTGTTTCATGACAAAACTCCACATAGTCATGATTTATAATTAGACACAACAAAACAAAAATAAAATATGAAATCATTTATTTTGCTTCTAAGCAGTATAATGTTGTACCATCTGTCAGCAAATAGTATATTCTGTAAAGTAATAACTGAATTTGTTAACATTGAAATTAAATTCCAGTCTAATCTACATGTGCTATGTTGATATGTTAATCGCTTTGTTAAGGATAGGAGGTCTGTGGTCCATTATGAAAACAAATATTATTCTAACTGTTTCTGCATGACACACTAGTTTAATTTCTAAAGGTTGTTTACACTGAACCTTAGTCGTCTTATTCAGGGTTTTAAATTCTGTCGCCAGTATGCATATAAGAGGTCAGCTTTGTGGTAGTACGAATGTTTTGACCCATGATGTGCACACCATATTTGGCATGATCAAACGTTTAATACTGTTAGACGTCTGAAGATTGATGACAAAGCTTAGTTGAAGGCTTCACCAAAAGCAGCAGCAGCATGCTTATTGAAGCTTTAGCTTTTAAATAGTTTTTTCTGCTGGTAGTCCCAAATGCATTGAATTTGCTTGATCAACAGTCATGCTGTTTATATCTGGTTTACAGCATGATATTTATATCGTTGAGATTATCTTAAGACCGTTACAGTGTAATGTCAATTTCAAAGTTTGACTAAAATATGAAATTTCGACCTTGGTAACAGCAGTTGCTTGTAGGAAAGCTGATACAGCTATAGTGTTGTAGCAATCTCATGTTGATATGAGAGGAATTGAACGTACACCGTAGTTAT